GACGATTTTACATATCTGAAAACTAGAAAGGTGCCTTTTCGAAAAACACAATTTTGCACCAACCTGAGACTGATTGAGTTACTTTTCCGAGTCATATTACAATTATCTACTCATTTATTGTGAATATAAAGAAACAAATAATTGTTGATCAACCAAAATAATTCTCTTTTAAGGCTGTAGGAGCCCCGGTAGGTTTATGTGCCCAGGGCCTCCAATAGGTTAAAGACGGCCCTGGTAACATTCTTCTCAATCCATCTGAAGATTAGTATTTCAAACGTCCTGTTAACTTCTTCTGCTTGAGTTCTCATGTTAGTGTTAAATCTATCATACATATATATTTGGTAGCGGTTCTGAAGGCTTCTAGAATGAAAATTTATTCGTTTTCGTCGAGCATCTGCTCGTGATAATAATGCTGTTAGAATAGATTTATCGACATTCACAGATCATACGTAATTCGTCGTAGCTGGGTTTTTATTTGCGATGCCTAGAAGGTGGCTCGAAATGACGAAGAAACATTCACGCTGAATAATACATGAACCACCAGTCGAACGTGCCATTGTCGACCAGATAAATTGGAAATTTGTTGTTTTGCACGAATATCCATCTTATTTTTAAGTTTCTATTACAACATACTCATTCGGACCGAACAAAAATTATGGTTAAATAGTGAATCAGGCTCGAAGGACCATTGAATTTAATCAAGCAAGCACATGTACGTGTTTTGGGCATATTTTTTGGATTTAATGTTTAACTTTCTCTTCCTTTTAAGTCGTCACCTGAGGCAGGTATCATTTTTGAAAATCTTGTATCGTGTTTTTGCATTTTATAAAGTAGTTTGTAGACGAGCTCGCAGCGATTCAGTCGTGGTCCTTATTAAATGCAAATCCTTCGTTTTAAAACCTCTTTGTGCTACCTGGAGGCCCATCTCTGCGACTTTGTTATTAAATTTAGTTCGTTGATGGTAAAAAAACGTAATAAAAGAGACCCAACTCGAAAGCAGCTTAAAAAATACCGAACCGCGGACCTCACATACTTACTTTACACACATATGTACGCATATGCAGTAATGAAATCTGTTTTATGGGGCGAAAACACATAATTCTTTAGCTTGAGTCGTTTGAGCTTCTCGTAATTGCATGCAAGAATGCCATTTTGCCGTAAATACCCTTAGAGGTACCCACTTATGTATATATGTACAATCGTTCCATAAAAAAGTCAGGAACATCGGAATCCTACCAGCAGGTATATCTCTAATTAAATCTGGCATTAGTAAACAATAACTTTTACACTTTTTATGGTCCAATTGATGTTAAGTGAAGTCTTGAAGGAACGGAAAGTGAACTATACTATGGCTAAATATTACATTTTTAGTTTGAAAAAAATTGTAAGAAAAAAAGAAATAACAGCGAAAGAAAAACGTCTACATCTTGGAGTTGGGCAAACGCCAACGATTGAGAAACAAGTTTTTTCACATGTAGTCCTTAATTTATTTCAACACTTACATATCCAGCACCATCTAATTAATTACAATTAGCATATGGTCAGGAATTTAATTTATTTTAGAATTAAAATGTAAAATAAGAATGAGTAGAAACAAGGTTTCCAGTAATAAGCGTGGGATTGGGATTATAAAAATGTACTTTTCGAATGTGCATATATAACCTGGAACCGTTTTACGAAAACCCATCCTGACAATTTGCATGGTAGTACATCGTGCATGTTAGTGTATGTCGTGAACATTTATCATGGTAGGTCGCGACATTCGGTGTCAAACACACCACCAGAACACAATGTTTATAGAATCTACAAATTATACGAGAGTCATTGCGAACGCGAGAATGGTGCACCAAAAGGAGAAAGAGAAACAGAAGGAGAAAGAGATGATTGTACTATCAGGTCGACGCAGACAATATAGTCAGGAGCACAGGTGGTTTGGATAGGAATCCAAACATGATCCGCATAATAATGCCGTTTGATTTGATTCGAAGCTGGGCAATGTTATGGTACTACATTATGTGTATGTATATGGGTAAGGGATATGTTGAGCCAGTTTTATATATGATCGTAATAAAGGCTTCCTACCACTCCTTCTACAATGTGTCCCAATACTGGAATAAATTGCCTATCCGGCTCGAAGGACCAAAACCGAAAATGGTATTTTAACCAAATTTATTTCTACCATCAGGTTTCTTAAATGAAACTTACCTTGACATACCTGTACCCTGTACAGATATAAATGGTTCTATTTGTATTAGGTATGCGTTAATGCTAAAATATTGGCTATTAAATAGATACAACCTGCCCGAAATTCGGCTCGAAGGACCAAAATCAAAAGTGACATTTATAATTTGCTTCGATAAGCAATTTTTTAAACATATTCATTCTGAACGCACTGTAAGTCGGATACTCAGTTATTTGTGTACAGTGCGGCTAAAATATCTCAGGCAATTAAAGTGTGAACGATATATTTCAAAGGTCAACATCTCCACCCACGTCGCAATATTATTTCTTTCGCGTTTCCTGCGAACGATAATGGACAGGTAACAATGGATATTTCAACAGTAAAGGCAGTAAAGTTTGTTTTCTTGCTGTACATAAACCGAAAGTGAACGGTCTAGTAACGCCTGTCTCAATCAATGTCAAGATCAGTAAAATCCTCTTGAAATTGTTCGCAGGTCGCCGTTGGCTTCAGGTTTACGAAACGTGTTTGTTCTATTTCACGCCTCGTGGTCATTAAAGCTTACACAGGACATTACAAACCTTGTTTCAAGACGACTTGGGCCGAATACGCTTTACATCAGGTCAATAGTTTAATATTTAATAGGAACTCCGCGCCGAAGGAATCGCAATTCTCTCCTTTCGAGGACTTGTAACAGGAATCATCATAAAGAAGATTTTAGGACAAAATGAATTAAGGATGATGATTTTTGAACTTGTAATCGACTGGGGTTTAGTTACCAAAAATTTATACTTCCAGGTCTGATTTTCCAAATTCTTCATCTTTCCATTTAAATGCCAGAAAGATGAATTCAGACAAAAAAGGGTTTGTTTGTTATTGGAATTGGAAGACTGGGGTTGCTTTACTTTCCCAAAAAAGTTATGATTACTGTTCTATCTATTCATCAAAATATCGGAGTGTTGATAATCTGTTTGTTTGTTATTGAGGATGAAAGATGGTTGTAGTTTTGCTGGTCTATTTCCTAATGGCGAAAACGGACCTTGCTAACAACATCAGGTAGTGAAAGCTCGGCGTTAATGAAAATAAAATAATATTCAATTAAAACGGGATCTCATGTTGAGTGCTCGGCCGGGGCGGCTGTAAATAACAGATTGAATGGCGGCTCGTTAAATAAATGATGAATAGACGGGGCATGTTACTAATAACCGCTAACGATTTATGCACGTATATGTACCTAAGTATACATATATATTGAATCGAAAAGATAAATGACTTTTCGCCTTTCAATTTATTCAAAAAGTAATCGCTAGAAATGGGACCGAAACGCGTTTTTTAAAATATGCGTATGAGAAAACGTAACATTTACATATCCAACACAGAAGTTTAATTACGATTTTATTCCCAAAACGCTTATTTTAAAGCTGTAACGTGTACAAGTACCTAATGTTGCCTTTCCAGGAAATCTTGTAGAGAAATAGACTGTAGTGGAACAATCAAATTCAGCTTATTCGTTAAATTTTGCTTAAAACCATTTTAATCGTACATTAAACACGTCTTAATCTTCGAATTAACGATTTCTTATCGGTAATATGACTGAAAACATTACCCTACATTGTAAGAACAAAAAGAAAAATCGATGCGTTCAACTCTGACAAGAATTATTAAAGGTTTCCCGAAAGAAATTTAATTATTGAAATTTATAGCGTGCTGGAACCTCATAAACTTTTAAAGTCGAAGAGGATGGTCTTACTAATTTATTGCCTCTTGAAAATAGACATTCCTTCTTATCTATTATACAACCAGCGTTACTGCATTTTACGTTAAAATAAGGTAATAGTAAATTGTAAAGCAGAAATTCTTGAGATTCTCCTAGATCTGATTTTCTTAAGGAGCATGGAATTCTAATGAAAACTTCTTATCGATATTAGAGTGACTCATTTTAACAATCAAAAAGGNAGTAACTTTTATTATGCAACCGACAGAACTAACTTATCTTACGGGTTGCATAAACATACTTTAACATTTACAATTATATCCATAAAAAGGATTCAAATTGTAGTTCTTCCTTAATTTATTGAATAAAGAACAAAGCATAGAAAAAGCAATTTGTAATGTTTTCTTATTTTCAAATTATATCTAATTCTTTCCAACTGTTATATTAACATGTTTTAGCTTTTTTACAATCTTTTACGTTTTTTTATGTGCAACTTGTATCATTTTCAGATAAATCAATTTATTATCTCAATTATTAGTAAATAACGCCAATTTTAAATTTAATGCATTATTCCTTGCGAAAAAGAGAAGTTCGGGGAATCCACACATTAGCAATTTATGAGTAATTACGAATATAATCCATAGAGGTAGTATCTGCGTTCTGTCAAATTGCATTTTTTTCTAATGATTTTGCCTTTTTCCGATTTGTTAATGCATTTTGTTACCTCAATTACGTCATTGTTAAAAATATTAAATATGGTGGATGGTGCTTGGTGTGTGTAATGTTTATTTTGGTAAACGTTCATAATTTGTTGGTGAAATGTTGTGGCACGTATCAAACTATTTTATTAATTTTTTGGATTCAAAAGGAATTAGTTTAACTTGGGCGTAATTCCAAATTCACGGGTCAGAGTTTGAGAAATGAGAATAACATAGATAATAGATCTACGGGATGCCATGTTACCCCTATATATATATTTATATATATTAAAGATAAACTCATATTGCTATTAAAGTGTCGTCACAAAATGACTTAGTTTAGTAAACCCCTGTAGTAAAATTACTGCTAAAAGGAATAAAATTATGTAAAACATTTTTTTCTTTACAGAAGGCACGTGTGCACTACTTTTAAAAACGTTACAACCCCCGTGCAGACCAAACTACCCTATTGTAAACCCATCTACAAAAGATACACCCAAAAATGCAGCGACCATCACATGTGCAGCGGTGTAAAGTAATTTTTAATTGAAATGTGAATTAATCAAGACATTTTTGCATACCGAATATCTCTTGTTTTAGATTAGTTTATGAAACTGCTTACAAGAATGTCATAACATCGAAAAATACACAACATGTATTTTATTATTGTTGCCCAGGATGGGGCCAGGGAGACTACAGGGGTCATGGATGTACCAAACGTAAGAATTAATCAATCTCGTTTTTTTTTCCAATAAATTAAACTACATATATTTGTAAAACATATTAAATAAACTTACTACATTAACACTAAGTAACAGAGGCAGAGTTTCAATTTTTATCTCGTTAAAAAAATTAACAATATTTATGTAACTAATTGAGAAAATAAAACCTATTCAATTGAGCATATTGTTCAAAGAAAAACATTCATATAATAATCTCCAACAGACGCATTCTGTATAATTAAAAAATAATATACAATCATGCATTTAATAGGTGTACCTACCGAGATTAATTAAGCCTTTATTGTACAATCAGAGCGAAAAAAAAGTTTCTGGAAAAACGCTATTGTATGGATTGAGATATGCTGAAATTAATTTACAACACTAGAACGTAGTTATTGATTTTTAAGTCATTTTGTAACAATATCAGTAACATTTTATAATATGTGCCACAATTTAATGATTACCTTTACGATCAGCAGGTACAATTTTAAAAATAACACTGACATTATTTTTAAAATTATAAAATTGTGGAGACCCTGTATGTGCTAAAATCATGTGTCCTAAATCCGATATAAATCAGCCATTTTTTTTCTCTTAGCAAAATGTTCTCAGCTGTGCCAAAACGGCGGCACTTGTGTGAAACCCGACCTTTGTTTGTGCCCAAAAGGATTCAATGGGCGTTTTTGTGAAATAGATGTGGACGAATGTAAAGAACAAAAACCATGCGACCAAATCTGCCATAATACGCCCGGAAGTTTCCAGTGCCAATGTCGGGAAAATTTTACCCTGTTGGCAGACGGTCAATCTTGCCGAAAAGACGCTGACGATGGTACCTCATTCGAAGCTAAGGAACTCGAATATGGGCAATTGGACAAGAGAATTCAAAAACTGGAAGAGGTAAAGTTCGTCCTTCACAAATTCTGCCAATAAAAAAAAATTATATTAATACCTAATTTTACCCCTCTTTACCCCAGCAACCGTCTAATTAATAAGTTAAAGTAAGTGATTTATTGAATAGACGGGGCATGTACCTAAGTATACATATATATTGAATCGAAAAGATAAATGACTTTTCTCACCAAAGCTCTCGCTTCTGAAGATTCGCCTTTCAATTTATTCAAAAAGTAATCGCTAGAAATGGGACCGAAACGCGTTTTTTAAAATATGCGTATGAGAAAACGTAACATTTACATATCCAACACAGAAGTTTAATTACGATTTTATTCCCAAAACGCTTATTTTAAAGCTGTAACGTGTACAAGTACCTAATGTTGCCTTTCCAGGAAATCTTGTAGAGAAATAGACTGTAGTGGAACAATCAAATTCAGCTTATTCGTTAAATTTTGCTTAAAACCATTTTAATCGTACATTAAACACGTCTTAATCTTCGAATTAACGATTTCTTATCGGTAATATGACTGAAAACATTACCCTACATTGTAAGAACAAAAAGAAAAATCGATGCGTTCAACTCTGACAAGAATTATTAAAGGTTTCCCGAAAGAAATTTAATTATTGAAATTTATAGCGTGCTGGAACCTCATAAACTTTTAAAGTCGAAGAGGATGGTCTTACTAATTTATTGCCTCTTGAAAATAGACATTCCTTCTTATCTATTATACAACCAGCGTTACTGCATTTTACGTTAAAATAAGGTAATAGTAAATTGTAAAGCAGAAATTCTTGAGATTCTCCTAGATCTGATTTTCTTAAGGAGCATGGAATTCTAATGAAAACTTCTTATCGATATTAGAGTGACTCATTTTAACAATCAAAAAGGCATAAAAAGTCATCCATAATTCAATGGCGTTATAGTTCATGAAATAGTAAAAGCTTATAGGGCATGTTTCTACAAATGGTTGAAAAATGTATATACCTTTAACTTCTACTTATTTGAGTTATATTCAGGTACATATATCGTCGAAAATTGTAACTAAATAACGAATCCGTGCGNAAAAATATATCTATATTTTTAGAGTATATACATTTGTTAGATTTAATAGAAAAAGCGATTGCGATGCATTCCTGTGTATAGAAAACGAACGACTTTTTGTAGTAGAAATACCCTACGAATTAAAAAAAATTGAAAACGTTAGGACCTAATCATAAGAAAGTAAAGTTAATATGTGGTTTGTGTAAACAAATAATGCAAAACCACATAAAATCAGACTCTTCCTTTTTACTGAAGGGTTGCATACATAAATATGTAAGGTAGTTCCTAATTTCGTTTTAAAATCTTCCGAGGTTCGTGTTGGGGTTACTCAAGTATTACCTAAGCACATTTTTAGTCTTTTTGGACCCTCCCACAGCCAGCCACCCCTCAACAAATCTATGAAAAATGTTCTAATGTAATACTTGAATTATCTCTTACCTATCAGTCTTAGTTTTGTCAATCTGAATTTAAAATTAAAAAAAAAATGACAAACGAAAATTTAAAGGTACTTAATTAGTTTAACTTGGGCGTAATTCCAAATTCACGGGTCAGAGTTTGAGAAATGAGAATAACCTCATAATATCGTCGTCCCATTGAACATTTCAAGGTTACAATTGACGGGGTCAGTGTATTGATTGTATTTGTACTTCGTATTCAAAATATAAACATAGCCTTTCTGCCACTATTTTCTTCAAAAACACACGATAGGATGACAATGCAACAGTACTGTTTACGATGGAACAATCATCAGCCGAATTTTATATCAGTATTCTCTAGCCTTTTGAACAGCGAGTCCTTGGTTGATGTTACACTTGCTGCAGAGGGGCGACACTTACAAGCACATAAAGTTGTTTTATCAGCATGTAGCTCTTATTTCCAAGTAAGTTACGTTTCATTTTTATCGCTTAAACAACAGTTAGTTACTTCTCTCTATTTAGAGCATAGGTTAGAATTATCGTCGCAGTTTTCTTAAAAACAATTTTTATTGCAGTCTCTCTTCACTGTAAATCCTTGCAAGCATCCAATTGTTATACTGAAGGATGTTAAATTCAAAGACCTAAAGGTCATTGTGGATTTTATGTATTATGGTGAAGTGAATGTGTCACAGGAACAGCTTCCTCATATTTTAAAAACTGCAGAGATGCTAAAAATCAAAGGCTTGGCTGAGATTCCAGTGGAACCTTCTAGCTTAACAAAATCCCAGACAAATTCATCAGAGCGTGCAGAATTATTAACATCTACTGATCCAAATTGGACTTCTGAAGTAGGGCAAAGGTCTACACTGTCTCCAACAACTTGTCCTCTCTCACCTTCTAGTAAAAGGTAAAAGATCTAATTGTATTAAAATTGTATACTTCAATCATTCTTTTTTTTTTTCATAGGAAAAGACTAAGAAAGTCCTCAACAGGATCTGGTTCTGGTTCAACAGAACGTATCATTGAAGAACCAACAACAAATGAAGTCACTGTTACTTCTCCCGGAGGCAGTACACTGGGTACTCTTATAAAACCTGATCCAGGTGGTTTTTCTTCGGCCCCAAACACTCCCCTTCGTATCAAGCAACACAGTAGCGATTCTGACACGCTTCCGCGGGGCAATTCTCACGAGAGTGCCGATGGCGATGTCACCCACCAAATCACTTTAGTAGGAACAACATTAAGAGTAAATAAATGACAAAAATACAGTTTTGATAAAATTTTTACAAAATCGATTTTATGCTTTTAGCAAGTACCCCAGCAAGAACAGCCAAGTGCACCACCCAGTGTTGAGCCACAGTCAGTAGAGGCTCCACCCAACTCTTCATGTGGTGCCACACAACAGCAATCTGTACAAGGTAAAAGGTCATATAAAAAAATACATTAAAAACCTTTTTGGAATTAAAATATGCGGATAATATAACTTAATTCCAGAAAGGAGATGCTATTTTTATTACTGATTTTGAAATGTTTATTATAAGATAATTTTGTTATCAAAGTAAACTATGGGCTCCAAAAAAACATTATAAGACAGCATGAATTAGTGTTTGGTATTTCTGTACTGATAAAAATGACTAATTAAAATTATGAATAACTTGGTAGAAGTAGTATAATAGTAAGTATGTTAGTCTAATAGTTGTGGCGTTATGCAACAACACAAATAGCAACAGTGAACGTGAAGAAACCTTCCTGTTCCATCTCCTCTCGTCTCCCCAATCCTATAAAGACTAAGCTCAATGGTGACGAGTCATGTACATCCTGGTAAAGTCAGTTGTTGCGGCTTTACTGTCTTTATCATTTCGATTTTTGACCTTTTAATTATCGCAGGCTTCCACGTTACTGACAATTTTTAATTTCTGGTTGATTAATTTTGCTCTTGAACAACGAACGACTGTCGTTAATAATATAGCAAAATTAAGCAACACACAAAAACAACTACTGTATTATTTATTTGTTTACATTCATAGTTTGCATATTAACCCGTACACTTCTCATTCCTTTATTTGTTTACTTGATCGCTATTCGTTACTCGTATATAGCGAAACGATAGATAATCTTCATGTTCACTCTTGCCGTTGAGCCTTAGTCTTTTTTCATCGTTCTGACCCGTTTTTTTTTCTGTTTCTCCCCCGGCTTACAGGAATGCCATGGGGCATCATGGAGGGCGGTTATCCGCGCTTCGCCTTCTCGGCCTCATGTCCGCCCGCTATGCCGTCGTCAACGAACAGTGGTCCTGTCTCAACGACCGTCGTCACCGCCTCCTCTGAACTGTCTTACGTCAATGTATCAACCGTCGTAAACCATTGTAGCATGTTCGCCTCAGGGAATTCCGGATCCGTAGTGAACGAAAATACGGATACTTCAGATGGACCACCGCCTCCGCAACAGCAACCACCAAGCGCCATTAACTCTAGCCACATGTCATCTTCGTCATCTTCTCCTCCATCACTTATGCAAAAAAGGAAAAGGAGTGTTAATCCCCAGGCTGACGAAAATTTCGTACGGGCTTTGGAAGCCGTCCGTTTCGGAGGAATTGGCTTCTGCAAGGCTGCCAAAATGTACGGGGTTAACAACAGAACACTCTGGCTCGAATTTAAGAAAAGAGGTTACGAAAATAATCGGCAGAGTATTAAAAACAGGAACGTGGTGAAACAAGAAAGTGGCGCTGTGGTAGTCGAACAACAACCCAGAAAGGAAACCTCCCCAAACGGACAACAACAACAGCAACAGGGAGTCAATCAACAGCAGCAGCAGCAGCAGCAGCAACAACAGCAACAACAACAGCAACAGCAGCAGGATGGAGGCGGCGGCGGAGGACAACACGAGAACGTCGGTGGAGCCCCACAAATGACCATGATAAGTGGTGCGTTCGTGGACACCAACAAGCAGATGGACTTCGCGTCGGTGATGCAACATCGGCCCAAATACTTCGAGAATTCGGTGTACAATCCATTACATGCGCTTAACCTGCAAGCCATCAACTTCGAACAAATTTGAGGCGTGGTTGGCAATGGGGGAGTGGACACGTGGACGTATGAACACGTGAGAATCGGCGAGTTAGGTTAAGTATTAGGGTGAGGGGAGAGCGAACTAGTAAGAGATGTGATCGTTTTGGATTCAAAACGTAAACTTAATGACCTAATTAAGCGACTAAGAAAGCGATAATGTCATTCAAAAAAATTCGAAGAAATAATGTTACAGAAAACCATACTGATAGGTAAGTATGGTCTAGGGCTAAATCGGGTCTCTGCAAGTTGTAATTTAATATTACACTTACTATTTATTTGACAATTATTGATATGAGTTTTACATTACTTCACTACAATATTTTTTTGTTTTAACTTAGAAGGAAATACATTAGTTCTTTGTAGTGAAACTATTTTACCAAAAATTATTGCGCAAGAAATTTAAAATACTTTAAATTAGTGATTGTATCATTGCTCTTTCCTTGTAGGTGCATTATGATGTAAATTGTGTTATACACATATATATAAATCTATAGGTATATAAATACCAATTAGAGCTGGCTTTTGTTGCAAATTGCCGTAGTTTTAAGTTCCCATTTCTTTAAAAAAAAGTCTAGTTTTCATCGTGCCTATTGTTACGTCGATCGTGACTCACCCTATATATGGCTGGTGGATTTTTATTATTCCATTTTTATCTCGCGTTCATATATTTGTTGTCTTTATTATTATTCTTTATCCTATAATTATATTAAACATACTAATGCGTACAATTAGAAGGCTTTAATAATCACAATTTAGCATTTTAAAGAACCTAATAAAAGCGTAATTTTCCAAGAATATTTTAAGCACAAAAGGGCAGGATGAAGAATTATATATACATAAATAAAAATATAGGAAACACTTGATTTTTAACGCTCATTGTAACGATAAACAGTACCATTTTTGAAGATCATTAGTTTACGTTGATGCATTTTATATATCGACAATATTATATATACAAAAATAAGGAGTAGAGTCGAGTGAGTGTGTGTTAACTTAATCTTATTATTTGTAATAAAATATTTGTTATTGTATTTTGCCTTGAATGACTTTAAAGTGCTGTAATTACCGTACTGTACTTAAAATTATCTCTTGTAACTCTGATTGTTTTGGTGCATAATTTTTTTTTTTTTTATTTTTCTTACCAATTGTAGAAAGAAAAAGGTCGCATTTTGAAGTCATTCTTCTTTTTTTACCATTGTTATTAACTGTTAAGAAATGGGTCATAATGCACCACATTTTTTTCCAAATGAATTGTCTATAAAATCAGTCAGAGCTAGAGATTTTTTTTATTGGTAGTAAAGCCTTTTTCTTTTGTTGATTAGAATGTTTATGCTTAAAGGCTGAATTACATTAAATATGTGGTTCATTATTGGCTCTGTTAAATGTAGTTATGTATATTAATTTTACTTTACGTTTTTCATTATCATAATAATTGATTTATATTACACAAATATACAGAGTAATTAATCTTCACGAGACGGCAAATATTCATCTAAGAGACGGCATTGGTTTAATTTATAAACAGCCTTTAATGATAATAAAATTAAAAATAAAGCGAACAGCTTTGTTTTATGTTGACCAATAATGTATCTCAAAGTACCGCTTGTTGTCTAGTAGAAAGTAATCGCTCAGTATGTATTTATTTTTTAATAAGAACGTTTATTTTTTTGTTTTTGACTAGCAGTTAATGGATCTATTATCATATTATTATTATTATTATTAAAACGAGACTGTTGCTGTGTAATATCATAGAAAATTCGAGGCCATATCATAGTTTTCCAAAAATTGAAAAAGGAACATTTAACATTAGGGCTAATTATTATTGTAAGTCTTTTATATGTGACCTATTTATTCACAATAAAATGCATTTTTGTCATAAATCTGAAACTTTTTCTTGTTGCCACTAATAAACGTATTCTTTCAAAATAAAACGACAAAGTTTTGGATACTAGACATTTTGTGTATAACGTTTAATTTCCAGATCGGCCTTCAGTCACTACACAGACACAAATGCCTCAACAGCCCCTTCATCAACAAAACCAGCACATGGTAATGGGTACCAAAAGGGGCAGGATACTAATGAGACAGCCACGAATAAAACGAGAAAGTGACTCTAATCAGAACCAGGAAGGTGACGGTTGTTCTCCGCAATTTTTGTCGATACCATTTCGAGTGGAAAGACAATGCTCAGATCCCCTTCCTTCTGCATCGCCTCCACCAGGAAATCTACTTTCTGTACCTGGACATACGTTGGTCAAGCAACACTCTCATCCCTTATTACCCAGTCAAACACAACAGGTAGATTATATTGCATATAAAAAACGTAATTATAATTTTTTTATCTTTTTTTCCTGTACAGCAATCTCACGGCAATTCAAGTCAAATTTTAATGCATCAATCATCGACAACTTCTACGGGGAGCGTTGATGCTGAAAGAGCAGTAAGTCCGGTGGTTGTAGTGTCAGATTGTGCCAGTTCTGGTTCAGAAAACACAACGTTAAGAGCTGAGACTGCACCCTCAGCCACTGCTACACTTAGAGTTCGAACTGATGAGTTGAAGCGCAGTTCTTCTTCTCCCCAGGTAAGTTACCACCTATTTATTTTTGTCTTCTTCAATTTTCTTTAGCCATTTTTCACATTTTTGTTTCGCTTCGTCAACCACACTCCAGGCTATAAAAGGCCTTTCGCTCCAATGAGGCTGCTCTTGTCTATATGCGTCATACCATGGAGGTGTTATCACAAACTTTTGGTCTTCTCGGTGTCTTTCAAGTAATGACCACATGTCGGATATAAAGTCGTTACGTGCCAAACATTGTTGTTGGCAATTTTCTTGAGGAGCAATAAGTTCTCCATTTACTGGCAATTTTTCTATTTCTTCAAATTGTTGGAAATCGGTTTTTAATTTCTTTAATTCCGCAAAATCGTCGTTGGGATCCTCGTAAACCATATTATCTCCTATCTATTAAACATTATCAGTTATATTCCGTAAAATTATTTTTTATATAATTCATTACCTGTTGTTCTTTTCTAAGTTCTTCCATAACTCTCTTATAATCATTTGTAAAAGCTTTCATGGTCATTTTAGCGGCTTCGTCCTTTTTTAATCGTTTTTGACCAGGTCTCTTTACTAAAAAGCTGTCTTTGTGAAACTGTTCGAACAGATCAGCTATTTCACTTGTATCAGAATCATCACTGTCTACATCAAAATTAGGCACAAATTCCATCAATTTCTTCAGAGCTTCTGGTGTGTTGCTCTTTTCAGATGGTACACCAGTAACTTCGGACAACTTACGAATTTTTATTTCGTTTTTTTGTGTCATTATGAAAATTTACCATGTCTTATTGATCAAACGTTTGATCTTCTTTCTTTATTGATTAAACTTTCTCTACAAAAACACTTTCCATTTTTTTTTATAGACAGGAACAAGATTAAGTCATTGTCCAGTGGTAAGACCAGGCCCAGCTTTAGGGTGTAACTACTGTTGGAATACAGTGGACAATCATGGTCGGATATTGAGAAGGAAAACGAAGTACCATTGCCCAGAATGTCAGACAAACCTCTGCATAGTACCATGTTTTCAAGAGTACCATGAGAGGCATGTGTCTGGTCAAACTGACCCTTTAGCCCTTACGTCTAGCGTTATGCGAACTATTTTTCCCAAAACTACTTCTATGTGAATGAGTAAATCTTAAAATGGTTTTTGGAGGTGACAATCCTTTTATATCGGAAAAGAGGTTTGTTTTTTATGGAGCAGTATTGTTTCGTCAGCATCCTATAAAGTAAGGGATGGTGAATATTGTGGTCAGTAAACTAAAGGTTATCGTTAATTGAAAAAATATATAAGAAAGGTCATAGAGTGATAAGCATTGTGAATCAGTCTCCATTTCCAAGGTGAATGGTGACTATACTAAGATGTAACAACTCCAAAAATTTAGGTCTTTAAGTTAATTGACTTTCGCTAAAAAGTCAAGAGTTTTTTTCGTGATTCTTATAACACTGATAACACTTATTAAGTTCGGATTATTAATAAAATTCTGTTTTGATTTTAATTTATTGACACACGATTTATTTTTAATATTCTATTAGAATTGAATTCATCAACATAAGGCTTAATTATTAACGATAAAAAGATATTGGTTTGTGTCAGTTTTTGTCTATTGACAATTTAGATGCCTTTTTTGAACATTTTAATGGAGCATAATTAATTTCTCGGTATAATTCTCAATGTTTTTGTTATTTGTTTGTGTTAATTTCATGAATACGCTTGTGAAAACGATCTGTAAGTGTATAATTACAAGATGGTTAATGCTTAATTACGATATTTAGTTTTACTAAGGGGCGAAAAGTACGTAAATCGAACTTGCATTCTTTCATTTCAAAAAATATATCTATATTTTTAGAGTATATACATTTGTTAGATTTAATAGAAAAAGCGATTGCGATGCATTCCTGTGTATAGAAAACGAACGACTTTTTGTAGTAGAAATACCCTACGAATTAAAAAAAATTGAAAACGTTAGGACCTAATCATAAGAAAGTAAAGTTAATATGTGGTTTGTGTAAACAAATAATGCAAAACCACATAAAATCAGACTCTTCCTTTTTACTGAAGGGTTGCATACATAAATATGTAAGGTAGTTCCTAATTTCGTTTTAAAATCTTCCGAGGTTCGTGTTGGGGTTACTCAAGTATTACCTAAGCACATTTTTAGTCTTTTTGGACCCTCCCACAGCCAGCCACCCCTCAACAAATCTATGAAAAATGTTCTAATGTAATACTTGAATTATCTCTTACCTATCAGTCTTAGTTTTGTCAATCTGAATTTAAAATTAAAAAAAAAATGACAAACGAAAATTTAAAGGTACTTAATTAAATATGAATGCCACCATAAATTGTATAATTAATTTTTATGTGTCGCGTGCATTAGGTTACTGTTTAAAAATTTTTCGCTTTTGTGCGTACTAAATAAGTAAAAATTGCCAGTATTCTATATTAACAATACGCACGTAATATTTATTTATTAAAAAAAAGTTAACTTGTAACTTGACGAATCAATACCTATTGTAGTAGTGGTAAATGATGTCGTAGGAATATAACGATGAATAATAACGTAATTAAAATATGCATAAAAAATGTCGAATCTCTTATTAATCTTAATACTTACAAAAAATATTATTTTATTTGTGTCGTATATTTAATACTATAATATAAACTGATTATTTTTTCGTTTTTAAAATGTAAATGTAATCTTGCAGAAACGAAAAGTATGTGATAAAAAATAATTTGTATTTAATATCGAATAATGGTTAAAAAATCGATTTTTAAGTTATTGCAATTTTACGAAGGGGATCGATTAATGAAATTAACCATTTTCTTATTATTTCCATTAATAACATACTAAGAATATTAAAAGAAGTATTCTGCGAAAGATAATGAGAATTTTGTAACTTTTTTAAAACATTAAGGCTCCCCCTAATCTCTATTGTTAACTAGTCGTAGGATTGTTTTTGTAAATGTAATTGTGCTCAGCTCGCGTATCGGTTAGCTTTAAATGGGCATGAAGAAGTAGCAAAATAATACATCTACGATATATTTTTATGGAATACATATTATTATTGATACCTAATGTTATAATAAGAGATATATTTTTGATGACTTACGATTAGTAAAGTACGCAAAAAAACTTAAGACTATTTAGGACGGTTGAAGATTTTGTTTCACGTTTCCTATTTTTGTGTTTACTATGTACAATATTTTTTAATTGGGAAACTTGTTTATTTTAAAGCAAAATTTACAGCTGTCCAGCGGCAGTTGACCGATTGTAAATTGAAAAATATTTATATGCATATATGTATATAATAGCGTGTCCTGCGAGGTTCGAAAAAGTTACCACTGTTTCAAGAAAGTGATAGTATGTACCTGCAGTTCGATGGTTTTGTTAGTTGATAACAACTAAAAATAATAATGTAATACATAATTGCTTCTGTAAGGACGAAATGTATAAACAAATAAACTTTGAAACGCTTCTTTAAAAACAGATTTTATTTTTACATGTGAGGTATACGAATTACGCTATAAAAATAAAAAGTAGCGGGGAAAAGTTTTTAATAAACAACAAACCATTGGTGGCAATTATTTATTTATTTACAATTAATTTAACTGCAGGTGTATTGTATAAGAAGTACAATAAAATAAGCATAAGTTACTTCTTTCCGTCATTGCCAGATGTAACTTTCCTAAAATTAGGAAAATGCTCCCATGGAGCAGATAATTCAAATTTACGATATTCTTGTGCTAATTCAAGAGGTTCAACAACAACTCGTTTCTTCTCGTCATCATAACGAACCTACAAAAAATATATAACAGTATTTCCATAATTAAAATAACAATTGCAATATTTGAAATAACATTTTATGCCGGAATCTTCTAGGTTTATCTCTAAATGTCAAAATACCTCTACATATCCACTCAATGGGAAATCCTTGCGGAAAGGATGCCCTTCAAAACCATAGTCAGTTAGAATTCTTCTTAAATCAGGATGATTTGCAAAGAAAACCCCATACATATCCCATACTTCACGTTCATACCAATTGCAACCTTTATGTATATCATAAAGAGAATCAATTGGTGTTAATTCATCTGTGTAAGTTTTTACCCTGATACGTGCATTAAAACGTAAAGACAAAATATTGTATATGATCTGTGACAAATAAAATCAACTTTATTTTGTTTAATATATATTAAGAAGGGCTATAAAGACTTGCCTCAAACCTATACACACGACTTGGGACATCTATTGCAGTTATATCACTAAGATTGGTAAACTGGCAATTGTGATGGTCTTTTAAAAACTGTATCACAGGAATTACCCCATCAGGATGAATTAATAGTTCTAGTTCATTTATGTCTGTAATTTGCACCTTTTGCATATACTTTGGTATACATTCTGCTACATAAGTTCCAAATTCTGTTAACTGTTTTCGAACTGCAGGATCAAATTTTTGGATTGTCGCTAGATAAAGTACATTATTTAGTAATTAATTAAACGTTTAATAATTATTATTACGTTTAGAATCAGAGGTTGATTCCACTTGACCACATTCATACCTCAAAGCTGTAGAACACACTGCAAACAAAAATTTAATAGCTACCTCGTCTTTTTTTGAAATAAATAAAAATAGAACCTTGATTTCTAACTAATGGGCTCCTTGCGACTCTTGAAAGCTGCCGTAAAATAGAAGCCATCCTGTAAAAAATAATAAATTAAATTCAAAATACAAATATTATCCACAAAATTTGTGGAACTGACAGTTCTTGCATAATCAAATGTGAAGTTAGTTATGGTTGTTGTGGTTACAGTTACATCAATAAAATTTATATTATTTAATCCAACGTAAACCTAAGTTCATCTAGTGTAGTAGTCTCTAGATTAATCTTTTTTCTTAATAACTGCAAATTTAAACTACAAAAAAGTAATAATTTTATTTTAATAATTATTATTTTCATTTGTTCCATACAAAAAATATTATTATTGTGTAATGGGTATGAAAATGTTTATTTCTAACTTCAGTATTCAGTTAACTAGTGTGTAGTTTGTGGCAGAATTAGGTTAGTTTGTAAGAGGTACGTAATAAATATTTTTTTATATTTACTCTTGAATATTATTGCAATAAGCACATAAATAGTTAAATATTTTAAATAACGCAAGTGAACGAATAACGTATTTGCTTAGACTTAGCTTAGCAGTAACAGCGTTTTATACAGATGTGCGTTGGATGATCACAAGGCAAAGATAATCAAAATGCCTTATTTCGTCGATAGTACACTTGTTCCCAGAGTCCAGAAAGTGAGTGGCTGGCTCATTAGCATAACGATTTCATTTTAACGACGTGTTTTTGTAGTATCTTGAATCCCATGTTGACCAAACTTACGTTGATATAGTTGCAATGGCTGATTACTTGCAGAGAACCTACAGGGAGTACAACAAAAGAAAAAGAAGCGCCTTTAGAAGTTCAGTAAAGAAAGCATACTCTGTTGTTCTACAAAGCTATGGTATGAGACAGCAAACATTTAGTTCTGAAGGTTCAAGTGAGGAGGGTAGTGGACCAGAGAATGAGGTTAGATCTGTGAGTTTTCTAATTTAATTTATAATATACTTCTATCTGTAACTCTTCCTTTGTTTATTAAACAGAATGAAAATGTGCTGAATAATCAGCTGAATGAGATGTATCAAAGATCAAAACAGCCCAATAAAATGGAAGACAGTGAATTGATTGATATAAGCAGTGAAGATTCTAATGATGTACCTTCAGAAGAAAAAACAACCAATGGGGCATCCACATCACAGAAATTGCCTTATTCAATGTTTCACCGAGAGAAGAATAATGGTTTGGAAAACAATGTAGATTTTGAAATAGTACCTGAACAAAGCGGATTTAACAACCAAAGAGGCAAAAAACGGAAGCTAGAAAGTCAATCAAAGTCTCTTCCCAAGAAAAAAAAGTCAATTGCAACTCTTCAAGAACCCTCAGTAACATTTTCTGATATAGGAGGTTTGAGCAAAGTGTTGGAAGAAGTATGTAAGATGCTAATTCATGTAAGGCATCCAGAAATTTATAGGCAACTGGGGATTTCACCTCCCAGAGGATTTCTTTTACATGGTCCCCCAGGAAGTGGAAAAACCCTTTTAGCTAATGCTATAGCTGGAGTATGTTTCAAAACTATCTACATTTTTTATAATTACATGAATCTTTGTTTTATAGGAATTAGGAGTCCCTCTTCTTAAAGTAGCAGCTCCTGAGTTGGTTGCAGGAGTCTCAGGAGAGAGTGAAGAACGCATTAGGGAGCTTTTTGAAAGAGCTTGGTTTACTGCCCCTTGTGTACTTTTTATAGATGAAATTGATGCAATAACTCCCAATAGGCAAAATGCACAGAAAGAAATGGAAAGAAGAATTGTTGCTCAACTTCTAAGTTGTATGGATGGTAATGTTTAAAATTTAAATTTAACAATCATAAACACATAAAGATCTTATTGTAATAGATCTTGGGCAAGCTGAAACTGGGGACAGGGTTTTAGTAATAGGAGCTACAAACAGGCCTGATGCCATTGACCCTGCTTTAAGAAGAGCCGGTCGTTTTGACAGGGAAGTGTGCCTGGGAATCCCAGATTGCAAAGCACGCGTCGAAATACTTAAAGTCTTGACTGCAAAACTGAAACTAGAAAACAATTTCAACTATGAAACCATAGCCAGTTACACCCCAGGGTTTGTTGGAGCAGATCTGATGGCATTGACCAGAGAAGCTGCTATGGCCGCAGTTAACAGGTTTTAAAACCACCTTATTATTATTTTTTATTAATTACAATATTTACAGAGTTTTTAATGATATTAAAGAAAAACGAAAATTGGAACGGGCGTTGGCACTCCAGAAGGCCACCCAGGAACTTTTAGAAAAGGAGAAGATTTTAGCCAAACAAAAGGATAATCAACCAACAGATGCTGAACCATCTGAGAAGGCCAAATTATTGACTAATAATGAAGAAGAAAACGGGTCAAATAAAGACGAGTCAAACGACGCCATAGTTGTTATAGACGATGACGAGAAACAGGAAGACAAATCACCAAACAATGAACAAAAAGAAAAAAAAATCACCGAAGAAGAAACAAAAATGTTACAGAAAGCGATCGAACTTCTCACACCTCCTCAGACATACCTGCAGGAGATGATGTTGTGGTTACATGAGAAAGCACCCCTTAGTACAGAACAATTAAAAGAATTATCCATGACCATGGAAGATTTCGCTAAAGCCTTAAAGAGTGTCCAACCGTCGGCCAAACGAGAAGGGTTTGCTACCGTTCCTGATGTTACATGGGACGATGTAGGATCGTTAAGGAGCATTAGAGAAGAACTACAAATGGCCATATTGGTAATATTGTAATAACTCAATTAAATACAAAAATAGAAATAAATTGTTTTGTTCCAGGCTCCTGTCAGACATGAAGTGCAGTTCAAAGCACTAGGAATTACAGTCCCTACGGGCGTTCTTCTTTGTGGTCCACCAGGTTGTGGAAAGACACTCTTGGCCAAAGCAATCGCGAATGAAGCTGGAATCAACTTCATTTCCGTTAAAGGACCTGAACTATTAAACATGGTAACAAAAAACACCTTTAAAGCTGGCGATGAATTTAAAATTTTCGTATTTTGATATTATCCATTTATCATAAAAATATGAGTATAGTATTTTGCCTTTAATCAGGACATGGTATTATTTTTTTTGTTACAGTATGTTGGTGAAAGTGAGAAAGCCGTACGGCTGTGTTTTGAGAGGGCGAGGAACTCAGCACCCTGCGTTATATTCTTTGACGAACTTGACGCCTTATGTCCTAAAAGATCTGACACTGGAGATGTAAATATTTAGTTAACATTTTGAAAGATTAATTAATGTGATTATAATGTTTCTCGTTTTATACAGGGCGGGCCAACTATGAGGGTTGTGAATCAACTTTTGACTGAAATGGACGGCATAGAAGATAGGAAAGGGGTGTTTTTGTTGGCGGCCAGTAATCGACCTGATATAATCGACCCGGCAGTTTTAAGACCTGGACGTCTCGATAAAATTCTCTACATTGGTATCCCAACGGCTGAAGATAGAGTGGATATTTTAAGAACAATTACAAAGGTTTGATGTTGAAATTTGGGTTTATTTAATTATTTATTTATTTGTTGTTTTAGAATGGTACGAAACCTCAAATGTCCCCAGACGTAGATTTGGAAATAATTGGAAAATCTGAACCTTGTGAAGGTTACACCGGGGCAGATTTGGCAGCCTTGGTTCGAGAAGCTAGCGTGGAAGCTCTCAAAGAATTTATGGTTCATAATGATCCGCAAAGACCACTCGTGGTCAGCACAGATCATTTTACTAGAGCTGTAGCCAAAATTAGACCGTCAATTTCTGAAAAGGTTTTTCATTAACAGAAAAAAGTTATATTAAACAAAATTGTTCTTTTTTAACGATTTTGATATGTTTCAGGATCAAAAACATTATGAAAGACTCAAAAAAGTTTATTCTGTAAGGATACCAGGCGAACAGGAAGTCGAGGAAATGGAATATTCGTAGTATAGTTGTTTAGTTTTAAGTTTCAATATTTATGTTATTGTATGTAAAAAAATTAATTTCAATTGTGTTACAGTACTTGTCACACATTCTTATTATTAGTAAGTAGCATAAGTTGTATGACTATTTTGTAATAGTAAGGGTAGTGAGTTATTTGTTAAAATAAATGACAGTTTAATTTCAAAAGAAATTTGGGATTCTGTACTATAAAGGGAAAAAATTAGCGATGATGATGCTTAGTGTCTCTTTGTATGTTTAAGTTAATTATTTCAGCAGCGAGGAACGTTCTTGCACCTGTTTTAGAGGACATTCATCCGTTGTGTAAGGATTTTATCTATTAAAGTTAAATATGGGAGATTCTTGTATAGGATTTTCTCCCAAAGATTTAAATAGTTGATATGCTAATACTTTTTTTTCAGGTTCATGATGATGATGAAAAGAAACAAAACGTTGTCTTTGTACATTTTAAGCCAGCACAGGAATAGAGGAAATTCGAAATATCTGCCCCTATAAGAACATTTTCGTAATTTTAAGAAAATTAGATCTGGCAAAGATGAAAAAATTAGCTCCTGTTTAATTTAGTTGCCTGCAGTTAAGTTTATTGTAATCAAATAAATAATTAATAACAATTTTTAGGGTGACTATACTAAGATGT